GGTGGAGGAAAGGGTTAAATTGATTGGTATGTAAATTTAAGTTAACTGGAATCTGCTCTTGTTTTTAATAAAGGGACTGGTTAATTTTGTTTAATGAGCTCTGTAATATTCAAAAGAGATCATTTTAATAACAGTGTATGTAAGAAAACTGCAAATTAACCCTTTAACTCCTACAAGTGATTAACACGCAACTTCTCCTTATCATATCTATACATTATCTAGCAAAAAGGTAATGAGAATACTCAGAATTATCAGGTTGAAGTTGTCATCTTGATTTAACACTAAATTCTCATAACAAATTTACAAGGAAATGAGTAGCAGCTAGTGAGGAGAATTGACAATCAGATCTTGGGAGTTAAAGGGTTAAAATAACAATGCAAAGAAATAGGCAAACCAAAATACCCTACCTGACCTCTGAATCTGGGAAAGCTCAGTCCAGCATAGAAGGGAATATAACAACTTGCCAGCAAAACCTTAACAGAAGCAGAAAGAGAAGGAAAATCATTACTTCAATCTTTAATTCAATGTGGCCTGTTATAGAAGTTTCTTTACTAGTAAGTACACTATGTGCACATGTATTGTAACAGAGCATGAATACAAGGCAAGGAGTCTCATTTCTTAAAGAAGAGCAACTAATAGAATACAAAGGTTTGGTTCTCTACAGAGAGTACAGTTGAATAACATTTCCATAATAGGGTCATGGCTGTCTAAAACTTAATTGTACTTTGTGAGAGACATGTGCTAGTTTAAGTAACTCATACACAGGTTATTAAATTACCATAACACAGGCCTATAAGATAAACCTCTCTTCATAAAATTTTCATAACAAATCAGGGGTGCTGCTTTTCTTTATGAACATTGGGAAAAATGTACCACCAATTAGCATAACTAAACACTATTCATCAAAAATTTAGCAGTCTTTATTTTAAACTGACAAGGACTTCATAAAAATATACCAGGAGGCCTTTAAACTGGTTTAAGGTTTCCCTCCTTCAGCAGCTAAATGTAATGTTGTAAATATTTCTACCTTAGATCCTTTCAAAGCTAATATTGAATCAATCACATTTAATTAATTAGAGGAAAAACCTGACCTTGGGGTCCGGGGCATTTTGCAACTTTAGAAGTGAGCGCTTGTCAAATGCCCTGCTATGTCGCGGCTGGGGGGTGTGGGAGTTTACATTGACTGGTGCATTAGGGGTTAAAGGGTTAATAGCAACTAAACTCACCAGCTTTAGAATGCATTTCAAATTCTTTGTACTCTACTTCACTTTGCTATGCCTATAGGGCAGTTTCTGAATTTCTCACTGCTTCCTCACCAATAATGCTCCTTTACATTAACTCATACCAGACCTTAGCCATTTTTATCAATTATGTATTACCTGAATTAAGTCTTCTTTGGAATCAAACTCAGACAGAATTGCATTCTTTCTGTCCTTTAGACTGGTCACAGAAATAAAAAGCCTTCCTGAAGCAATTCGGTGGGAATTTGAAGGAAGATAAAGTTCAAGTCCTTTTCTTAAACTCCCAACCAAGTCAAACTGGGGATTAAAAGGCCCCAGAGGGTGTCTACGAGCGTCATGAGTAAGTTCTATGACATAATCTGAACACTTGTCCAGTGGAGCTGATGTTGCTAGCACTGCAGCAACAAGTGACCCTGCTGAAGCACCTGCAAAGGCTGTTACATTCTTTAAAAACTGTGGAGCATGCGATGTTAGGCAAGTTGCAACTCCAAGGTGGTAAACCCCAAGAAAACCACAGCCTGCAAATGACAGGTTCATGGGATCTGCAATTAAGAGTGGACTGATAAAACGATAGTGTTCTGATAAACAAACTTCAACATGATTACATGTAGGTAACTGGGCAGTTCATGAAAACATCAAATTTTGACCAATCCCTGTAAAAGCTTTCGCAATCCTTCACTTTACTCTCCCTTGCAATGTTGGTTACTAGAAAGCAACCTCTCCTAGTGCATAAAATTGATCATTCAGCATCGAAGGCGGGAAGTGAGTGGAGTTGGAGTATATGACCAAGCTTAGGTTGAAATCAACACTGATTAAATTCAACATTGTCAGTGTTCGTTTCTTTTCTCCTTTTGTGTGTTCTGAGACGACAACGGTCCACTACCTCACTGTTACAGGAGGTGAAATAAATCGCGACTTATCAGCCTTCCAAAAATTGCAAACGCATGCAGTCCTACAAAAGGGAAGCCGACATGAAACAGGATCAACACGGTTTGGTCCCCTAGAGAACAAACATTATGCTTAATTTATTCCAAAGTAAGCCTATACCTTTCCACCGCCACGACAAGCTAGGTCTCAACTAATGTAAATCCTTGACCAGACGATAATCTTTTGTTTCTGCGAACGATCGAACGATCAGAACTCATCATAAACTTCAACATCAAACTTGGTAACCGCGCTTGTGAGGGTAACCAAGCTTCAGAAAATTATACCAGTGGAGTGGACTTCTCGGATTTCTTGGGTCGGTTGGCAACTTGATTCCTCGATCACTTTTTAAATTTTCCCTCCTCTTAGTTGTTTATTTTGTTTTTTCGATTTTTTTCTCAAGTCCCGTATTCTGCCAAAAGTAGGATAGGAATCAAGTGTCAGGTGCATATATGTGCATTTAAAAAAATAAACTCTGGGTTTATACAGTCAACTCCATCATATATGAACACAAACAGGAATTGAAGAAAGTGTCTGTAAGTGGAAGTGTCCGGTTACGAGAGTGTCCATTAAAAATAAGTCCATTTGTTGAGAGTTGATGGTAACTTTTGTTGTTGTTTCCTTTTTTTATCAGCAGTTGTTTGGTCTTCTTGGTCAGCTATATGCTCATACCAAGAGAATCCATTAATTGATATTTTAAGAAAATTAAAAGTACTCTCCATTTTGCTGTAATATTTTTAATGCAAAAGCTTTTTTCTTAAGGCATTTCTATATTTTACCATGACTGGTGTATTCCGCCAAGTAGGGTATGATTTTCTTTTTTTCAGGGGAATCTTAAATAAGACATACAGTTTTACTACTCAGGGCACTTTTTACTATATTACATGTAAATGCATGAATGCTGGTTGTATCTTACAAAATGCAGACAGAAACTCCAAAAAGAAGCCTGCACAACAAAGCAGGGATTGTTGTTTCTGTGCTACTGGCATTAACATGCAAAGATGTTTGCAAATGCATGAATGATTTAAACCACAGAAATCCTTAAGAATACTCTGTTTCCTGAATCCTGAAGAAAGAAAGAAGAGAAAACTTTATTAGTGAATACCAAACATAAAAATATGTAAAATTGATATGTGATGGATCACAGTCACAATTTCTAGCTATGTGTACTACATGATTCATCTTTTAATTTCATCACTTTGAGGAATACACCCCACTTGATCATAAAGTTTAAAATAAAACCAAGGGGAAAACGAGACTGAAACAAAAAACATAATTAAAAATTTCACAATGTTCGGCTATGCACCAACATAATGTGCTAGGAGCTAATCACATTGACTACATTTAAAGCCTGAAAAAATTGGCCTGTCCAAAAACAGACTGAAGAAAACAGACTAACAAAAAGTAACACAAACAGCATCTTAAAGACAACCTGGCAAATAAACACAACTCCAATGTCTACTTTGTATTGGCCGTTAATGCAACATTACATCATCAGTTTCTTACTTGCAATGTGGACAGCTAAAGAACACTGTTTGGCCTTCATCAGCAGATCTAGTTTGCCTTGTGGTGTATGTCATGCCTTCGTGTCCACAGTTTGAACATTTTCTGTCAGCCTGCAAAGAATTTATCAAAATGAACCCTTTAACCCCTAAGAGCGCTGGCATCTAATTTCTCTTTGCAATATCACCACTGAATCACACATTAATGTCATGAGAATAAAGGAAATGATCACCAACTAAGGAAACTCTTGATTGTTAGACAAATTCTCCTTGTCAGCACCTTAGTAAATGTACAGAGAGCAGTATGGAGAATATGAATACTGATGTTAGGGTGGAAAGGGTTAAGGAGAAAATTTGAAAACTGAAAAGTCCTCATAGCTCAGTTGGTAATGGCATCCAGCTAGTATCTAGGAGGCATGGACTCTAATCCTGTCAAAGCCTGAATTTTTTTTGTATTCAGGTTCCTTCTCTGCGATTGCTTAACCCTTTAACTCCCAAGATCTGATTGGTAACTCTCCCCTCTAGCTGTTACACATATCCTTGTGACTTAGTTATGAGAACTTGGTGTTAGATCAAGACAACAGCTTCTGACTCATAAGTTTACACATTCTCATTAGCTGTTTGCTGGATAATGTAAGGACATTATCAGGAGAAGTTTCATATTGATCACTTCTAGGAGTTAAAAGGTTAGGTGCAGGTCATCTGCAAAGATCATTGCTTTACTTGAATATTCTTGGGTACCTTGGAAATCTAACTCATGAAACACTAGAAACATTGGCCAGTTGATTCTTATTAGCTTTCAAGCCTTAAGTAAACTTCATGGTTACTGTAATTATGTATATAACAAGTTAATACAAAGTTTTATGTAACTTCAGAAGTATATCAAAATATTAAGGACTGCTAAAATGATAGCTACTAACTAGATAAGAAACCACTATCTTACCATAGGCCCTATTGGTTCCTCTGAATCTTTCAAAGCGTTTGCTTTCTCTTTTGGAATGTTGAACACCTTTCGTGAGTGAACTTCTATATCCTCAAATTCTGTAAAACATAGAAAATAAAGTGAAAAGTATAATGGTTACAATAGCTTTGCTTGTCTCTTTGTGTCTGTTATGATTAGTCCAGTGTTGGAGATGGAAAGTGCTGTGCAAAATGGATTGAAAACCTGAGATTGTGCTTCTGTGTGCACAATGGCAATGTGAGGCATACTTATACAATGATATTTAATTTCCAATTTACAAGTTTTGTTATAGCACACATAAAGACAGTTTCTGACAGAGTGCTGAGGCTCCACCAGAAAAAGATTAACTTATAAAGAGGTTGAGACCTTATGACTACTGCAACCTACATAGGTATTCTATTATTTGATAGAACCCCATTTAATAGTTCCCTAACAACAGCTAAACGATTAAAAAACAACAACAACAACAACAACCAAAAAGTAAAAAAATCTGGCTGATCTATGAAAAAGAAAAAAAAAAAAGAAAAAACTGCTACCATAAACTTTCGTCGCGACGGTCTAAACTGTCAATCTTCAATATAGTTCTTTCGAAAGAATGTGATCATCTACCAAGAGTTATTTCGCTGTAAGTAGAAACTGGTGGAAATCGAGTTCCTCAGCTTCTCATCGAATTTTTAAAAACAAACTTCTCTGTGAAGTATTACCAGATGCGTCTTTCTTGAAGTCGCAAAGAATACAAGAAACAACATCCGATACACCAGGAAGAGGAAGGATGGAACCACAGCGAGGACAAAAATCTGGATCGCACTCGAACGCTTCCTTTGTAACAAGCTTCGCCATCTTGGATGCGACTGACGAACGCTGGTCAAAATGAACGGCGATTCACTAATACTTTTCGTTACCACTCCCACTCGACACAAAGGATCCCTTTCATCTTTGAGGTAGGCGAGGTTTCATAGAGCTTCACCTCGCGTTTGCCTCACTTCCGATCATTAGGGCTTTGGCCAGTACGCATGTTGAGCAGGGCCCAAACATGCTCTAATGAGGGGCTAACGCTCTATTAAAACGACAGCTGCGGAAATCTATAGAGTGCAAATTTCCGTTATCAACTCAGTTGATAAAACTAAAATTAATCGTGTTATCCCCCAAGGATGTAGCAACACAGTTTTTGTCACGCATAAATTATTTTTACATGATCAGTAACTTAAATGCATAAAAAAATTTGAAAGTTGTTCGAGTAAACAAATCATTTTCAAAAGCCCCACAATGCGGTTATATGATAGTATTTGAAACGTGATATACAGTTCCACATTGCCAATATTCGTGTGCTGGAAATAAAAACAATATAGCATTTTCCTTCAAAGCAAATATACAGCTCCAGGAAAAGAAAAAAACAACTATGTCATCTGTTTTTTAAAAGTAAGGTTAAAAAAAAATTAAAATAAACGTTCGATTACCAAACTCTTTGCTTTATAGATAATTAAGTAAAAAACACAGTATCTTCAGTTGGCAGACGATCGAAATGGAGGCTTTTTACAGCGATGAGATCCATTCTTTTCTAAAGTAAACTTTTCTTTGCAAGTAAATTAATTAATTAAAAAAGTTATTATCTTTATCACTTATTTACTTACCGGCGAGTTTGACAACGTCTGAAGATTCACTCTGTGAACCTTCTGCCAAAATCTCATTTGCTAAGAAAACAATAGTTACATATAACTGAAAAATTGGTTTTTCATAATAAAACGACTGTCGAAGTTGAAGCATATGAAATTGAGAGGCAAGGAGCCTTCACAGAAATTGCATGTTGTTACAGACTTGTGCCAGACTTGCATCGATTCACTACAAAATCATAATTTCAGCTAAACTTCAGCAAGACTTTTTTAAGCATCGACGAAAAAAATTCGCAGCAAGAAAAAAAAATCCTGAGTGAATTTGCAGAGCATCTTGTACAGTAAGTGCGAACTACCCTAATTTTTTCCTTCAGTTTCAAATATTGTATTAACCCCCAAAAAATTGTACAATGCCTCGAGAAAAAACAACGTGAAAAAATTGTAGCTGAAGTTAAACGTGGCTAATGCCACATGTACTTTTTCCTTAATTTTTAACTAACTCGGTTTGACCGAATAGTCTGGTGCCGAGGAAGAAGGGACACCTACTTCGATTTTTCCCTTGAGAGGCAAACTTGACACTGTCCGTTGTCACTCTATAATGATCCTTAAGCAGCCTCAGCTAAACAGGCCCGGAAAATAAATAGGATGTCCCTACAAAAAATCCTTCAGAAAAATCAAATTTGGACGTTGATATTTAGGCAAAAATTTGCCAATGCTTATAACTGTTATGAAAAAGAGAAGTGATATCCCGAGGTCTGAACCTAGAAGAGAACATTTTAATGTTCCTTTTTACTTTCATCAGCTTAGCCCACCGAAAAAAAATTAAAGGAGTTACATTAACTCTAGGAAACTAATTCCTAGTGAATTATTCACGAGTATCAGTGAATATTAGTGAGTTATTTTCGCTTTGTTTTATTTTCCATTCAGAGTAAGGTTTTTCATTTTGTTAAAAGACAAATAGTAGATACGACGAGCTGAAACCAGCTGAAACATTTAGTGAGACAAACAAACAGAGATCAAGCTGAAGATGGAAAACATGATAGCTTAACTCAAAGACTTTCAACCAACCGCTGACAGGTAGCTAAGCTACATCGACTTGAAGGATCGAGTAGCGGAGGGAAGAGGTGACAACTTGACCATAACTTTTTTACGAGATGTCTTAGTTCTGATATGAAAAATTCTGAACTGAAAATAACGTGTAATGTCAAACGAAAAACATGTATTTGCATACTCTCTAGCTCAAATTCGCTAGGATACACTACGAAGACCGGTTGTTAAAAAGCTACATTAGCATCTCAAAATAATTTAAGCTTGTTATCACCTGCAAACAGTTTTAAACCTCCTTGCAAATGCTGCGATCTCATTTCAATTTGTGGATTAAATGATAGACAAAATACGAGCTGGAAAGTCCTCACGACTAAAATGGATCTAAAAAATCCGTCAAATTATGCTATATGTGTTAGTTCTACTGTAATCCAAAGTCACGGTTACCGTTACCATAGTTAGATCAAGCCATCTTAAAGCTGCAAAAACACCAGGAAAATTAACTTCTCGGGCCTTTGGTACATCGGTAAGATTCGAGAAAGGAACAGTCGATGGCAAGAGAAGCTCGACATGCAAGCCTGAAAGTAAAAAATTGATTAAAAACTAGCTAAGCAAGAGTGACCTGTTTCAGAACCGCTCCTCATTTAACGTTTTAGTATATAGTATATTACACACAAGTCCAACAGAACGTCGTAAACCGCAACCCGCAACAAACAGTAAGAACTGATAAGGTTAAATATAACGTATGTTCCTTAGTTACGTAGGTTAAATTTCTTGCTCTATCCCCGTGGACTTGAAAATCAGTACCAGTTAGGATCTTTTTTCTAGATTGTTAATTAACCCGACGCTCGCCTAATGAATTTCACCTACGCGGGATAATAGATGATATCAGGAAGCATTTTATAAGAGGACTGTTATGATATCTTTGCCGGCTTAATTTTACTATTATTGTCTTTCAGCCAGTATAGCAATTGATATATATTTTTAAACTATATCTGTCAGGAAAAGCCTGGAACTCAATCAGTGATTGTTTGAAATGAATGCTTGCTTGCTCTTCTTCGTTACCATTATTTCCCTCCGTGTCCTGGCAATTCCAGAAGTAACAGGAAATGATCGTTATCATCAGCCTGGTGATGTCACACTTGGTGGTCTCTTTCTGCTGCATTACACAACTGAAGACGGTCAGTGTGGCGAATTCTTCCCAATAGGACTCGGACATGTAGAGGCAATGATATTTGCCATCCACAAAATAAACAATGATCCATATCTGCTTCCAAACATTACGTTAGGGTACGACATCCGGGACTACTGTGAAAGTGCTGCAAAGGCAATGGAACACACTTATGACTTTATACGGAAAAACGAAATAATTGCAGAAGCCCAAAACGCTAGTTGTAAACAGACGGACGAGAACAACATGACGCAGAGCCAGGAAAAGCCAATAACAGCAGTCGTTGGCCCGACAGATTCTGGAAGTGCTGTTCTTGTGGCAAGCCTGCTGCGAGTGGGTGGAGTTCCAGTCATTAGCCACTCGGCAACAAGCAACGAGTTAAGCTCACCGCAATACCGTCACTTCTTTCGAACTGCCCCCCCCGATGGACAACAGGCAAGTGCAATGGCTGACCTCATACAACACTTTAACTGGAGCTATGTAGCTGCTGTGGCAATGGACGATTCTTACGGTCGAAATGGAGTATGGAAGCTGGAGTCTGAAGCCGAAGCCAGAAAGACGTTTTGTTTGTCCTTTGCCGAATACATTCCCCGGCAAGAGTACATTGCTAAGCTGAAAAGGGCTGTCAGCAAGCTCAAAAGCTATCCCAATATTCGTGTTGTGGTTTTATGGCTATTTGGTGGCTACGGACGACGATTTCTTAAGGAAGCTGTAGAACAGAACTTGATGGATCGCACCTGGATCCTCAGTGATGCTCTAGCAACAGAAGATGACGTATTTGTCGGGTTAAAAACGACGGATCAACAAATTCTTCACGGCTCACTGGGCTTACAGCCCCGTATGTTAGATGACAAAGATTTCAAAGATTTCTTAATCAAAGAATCGTCCAGATTAATAGAAAGTGAACAAGTTCCTTGGTGGCAAGAATTTTGGAAGAGCGAGGAGAGTAGACGCTGCTTTTCCCTACCAGTACTAAGTGAACAAAAATATTGTAAAGAGATAGTACTTCGCACAATATACGACACTTACATTCCCTATGTTGTGGATGCTGTTTATGCTATTGCTTACGCTCTTCATGTCATGAATAACTGTTCAAGGCTGGGTTGTGAAAAGTCTCAGACACCAGGTAGCGATTTGTTCCCTATGCTGAACCCGAAATATGTAGAGGATTATCTTCGTGTCGTTAACTTTACGGGAATGACGGGACAGGTCCGCTTTGACAAGTTCGGAGATCCTTTGGAGTCTTCTTATGACATCGTCCATTTTAAAACAAATGACACATTAGATAGCCACGATCCAGTAAAACTGGTTATCGGTTCATGGGAAAAAAATCGCAAGAAAAAGCTAGAGTTAAACATCGGTAGTATCAGGTGGAATACAATCAGTAACCAAACGTTTGTTCCAAAGTCTTTCTGTCACGAAGATTGTCCTAAGGGCACTTTTAGGTCAGTCACTACCCCATGTTGCTGGGAATGTCTCAAATGCCCGACTGGAACTATAAGTAGTCGTATAAATGATATGAATTGTACGGAATGTCCCCAAGGACAATCGCCCGATGATAGTCGATCAGAATGCTTGGATCTCCCGGAAATTGAGATAAAATGGTCAAGTCTTGCATCTGTCCTGGTCATAGTGTTCGCAGTAATTGGATTCCTTCTCGTTGCCATTTGCAGTTTCATCCTTTATAAATTTAGAATGACACCGCTGGTGAAAGCTTCAAACCGTGAACTAAGTGTAATTCTTATGTCCACCATCACAACGTCTTTTTGTGTGTCCATTTTATCTCTCGCTAAGCCTACCAGCTTTATGTGCAGTGTGGTGAATGGTCTACGTTCCATGGTACTTGTAACTTTTATCTCCATATTAGTAATTAAAACTATGAAGATACTAAGTGTGTTCCAAATAAACGTTATCGCGAAGAGGTTCAAAGAGTTTATCTTATCTACGAAGAGCCAATCACTTCTCGTTCTGCTATTTATCTTACCGCAAGTTCTTTTCTTAACCTTATGGATTGCTTTAGATTCACCACATCAGAGACGAATCTTTCAGTCAGTTGAAGGTATGTATCTTCTCTCGTGTTCTTTACACCAATCATCGACTGGGATGGCATTGCAAATTGTTATATCAGTGTACACTTCGTTTCTCGCGGTTGTTTGTACATTTTACGCTTTTAAAGCAAGATCATTACCTGAAAACTTTAACGAGGCAAGATATATTGGATTTTCCATGTACATTTTGCTGCTGTCGTCTGTAGGATATCTTCCCATTAACATCGGTCGTTATGGCTCATATGCAACAAACTTGAAATGCGCGATGAGTCTTCTAAGTTCCTATGGAATATTAACCTGCATGTTTGTCCCAAAGATTTACGTGATCATACTAAAACCTGAACAAAATACTCACCAGGCAGTAAGTTCACAAGTATCAGTTTTCTCTTTTAGTAACTTCCTTAGAGGAAAAATAACAACTGTTTCTCCATCAAAACCCGACGCCATAGGTCATCAAGAACAGTTGGATTTAGAGTTTGCTTCTGTTAGTATATAGCGTGACAGATTAGCAGGAGATATATCAACAGTCGTGGCTTTATTAGCTTGTGTTTCTTGTTTCCGACGATGTTTAGGTTAGTTGGCTAAGACTGTAAACGGAGATTTAAGACAGTAAAAGAAAAAAACAGTCGGTTTTGCATCAGGAAAAAAGTGAATATAAAAGAATTCCAGGGATGATGATTCCTATAAAAGTTATACTTTTAGGGTTTAGGGTTGTGATTACATAAGGCGATCGAAACGCATTTTTTATCCCGGAAAACTCTCTCAGCATGTCCTCTATCAGATTAAATAGCTTGTCAAAATTCTCATTTCATATATTTCATACTGCCCACAAGAATGACCAAGATAAATAAAAGTTCCTAAATTTACTAGTATTTGGATCCTTTATTTAATTCATTAAAAATCACGAATTCATACACAACTGAGAATTTGCACGTTTAAAGCTCAGCTGGATCAAAAGGTTCTTTGCGTTGGCGTTAGAAACACCATGAGTTATATTTAGAGCATAAACACGGAAGAACCTAATGCATAAACAATAATAAAAAAAAAAAGCTGCTCGGGCAAATTGAAAATCAGAAATCAAATATTCAATTTTGCTTTCAGAGTAATCTGGCTTGTTTTGCTTTTTGTTTTTTGTTTTTGGCTCCTTGTTATTGGTGTAGAAGCTACAGGACACGTCACAATAAAACATTATTTTCCTCGATCTTTTGTCTCGTTTTCTTTTCTATTGTGTCTTCTTCACCAAGTAAGAGCCTTTAGTCTATTTCTGCTCGTCAATTTGCTCTGGAGAGCATGACCTATCAAATTCAGTGCAAGCTGCTGAATCACACTAACTGATACAGAAAAACAAAAACTTGGCACATACCACCCGAAAGGATGATGAAATTCTTCCTTATAATGACTTTTGTCGATCCTCAAAATCATGTCAACAAAAGCCAACAATAAGTTTCAATTATTCACATTTGGCTCACAAAATATCATAGAGGGTCTCAATGGGGTTATGGTTTTTGTGGCTAGGGGTAAGACTTCCCTTCCACAAAACCCTCTCTCAAGACTTCTCGTAGTAGACGTCAGGTTTTATAAAGTTGGGGAATTATCGCTTGGGTGATGTTTTCGTATATCAACCAGTTTTAGTTGGGGGGGGTATTCGGACACGTGATGCGTTTAGACCAATCGCGCAGAGCAAATATATTTGATGGATTATAATTATCAATATCATCACTATTATCATTATTATTACAATTATTATTACTACCGATAAGGGTGGTAGTTATCATAAGGTCTATCTACCCTCTGACCATCTATATCAAAATTTTATAAAGTGAGATGATTTATTATTACGCGAAGTTTTTAATTATAATTTTTTTTAATTAAAAAGTGCGACAAGTGTTATGACAGAGTGACAGGTGTTACAGTGTACGACGAGATAGACCTCCCAGGGATTTCTTTGTCAGTTGTTTGTTGTTGTTGTTGCACAAGCAGTGGGAACTAATGGGCTATATTACAGTTTTGTACTTAATTGTCAAGCCTTTAATTTGGCGTGAGGCTGAAGGTGACCTTGTTGTAATAGAGACCAGTATCTAGCTAGCATGATAACAAACTAATTTGCATTTGAAAAGCAGCAACGTTTCTACCATAACAAGGTCACCCTTAGCGTCATTCCTGTTCAAAGGCTCGGCAATTAAGCACACAAATGTAAAATGGACTAGTTTTTTTTATTCGCGTCTGAAAAATTAATTAAAGAAATTTAAGAGGATTGTTCTTCTGTTTGAGTTCGTTCACAACTTCAATTAAGATGAGTCATCAAATGTTACCTTTTGCAACGGAAGTTGAAGTCGAAATCCCAATATAAGGTAAAATAAATGCATTATTCTTTTCTTTGTATACGTATAAACATAGGGGCTTTCAATTCTTCATTCTCTCTGCTGGTGTCGAGTAATTGAAGAGACTTTGCAGCTAATAACCATCATAAAATTGAGGATTTTATTGAAGTTTGCATTAACTCATCAACCGTATTTTGTTAATTGTGCCTTTACGAAGGGAACTGAGTTATTTCCACGTCGTTGGTTGACAAATGCAAAAAGTATTTTTAGCAGAAATAACGTGCAGTAAGGCACTTTAAGCATACAGTTCAAAGAAATTGTTCATTTTTTAAAGTTTATTTAGAAGGAAATAATTAATTGTAGAACAATAAAGAAAGAACTATCTAATTTCCATTTTAGGCATACATCGCAGACACAAAATAAGTTTATATGAAACAGATGGATGTGGTTGATGGGTGTTATTCTAAGAAGTTTAATGAGGTATCCATTACATCAAATTTTTAATCGTAATACACTGTATACCGTAGAAAGAGTTTGTCTTAAGCTGAAGGTAATTGATTCTCAAGCGGAAATGTGTTTACATTACGGAATAAAATTTTTTAGGTGAGTTTTGTCTGTGTACAGAATGACTGAGTTCTGCGCATTGTTATCCGCTGTACTAATTAAATTTTCATTCAGTTTGAAAACAAAAGCGCCGTCAAGGTTTATCAGTGTTGAAAATATATTAAAAGTACAGTTATATTTCTATTGATATTGGAAAAGCAGTGGAATGGTGAAAGTCAGATAAAATGCCTCGGTGCTTTTCCATTTGTGTATGGATTTATTTATTTGGATTCTTTAAGGAAAAATCACTCCAAGGTAATATAATTTTTTCCTATCTTTACGTTGTGCGTTTTTCTTTTACTTTAAACATTTTCTATTATTCTGAGATCGTGATTTTTCTAAAAAAATCGTTCATATTTTTTTTTGAGAATATTGGCTCCAGTTTAAGCTTTGCACAGACTGCAGCTCCGTTTTTTATGGTCGTTCATCCTTGTATTATAGCACGAATCATCACTTCAGTCGTGAGCAGGTGATATCTAATCCATTCTAGTCGAGATCACCGAAATTGGCATCATGCATCAGGAACTTATGAACGCACATTGTTTGGACAATAGGTTCAGTTTTGTTTCATAAAAGATGCGAGTTTCCTTTCAAGTCAGGGAAATAACTAATTGTCGTCTGTCCTAAAATATATAATTCTGTTATGAGGCAAGTTTTCGTCCCACTTTTGTTATATTTTCAAAATCCTTCAAATAACTTCAACTATTCATTCGTAGGACAATGCTTTAGATTCTGCCATGAGCTTGAAATTGTATTGCTTTTGCCTTTTTAGATTTGCGTTTGTTCTATTTTAATTATTAGATAAGACATGAACCGCCCATATTAATTTCTACCACCTTTCAGTCCATTTGATTGCCTCAAGTCATGACAAACATTGTTTAAATAAAATTAAGAGGGGGTTTGCAAAGGCTCGAAAAACACGAAGGTAAAGTGACATCAACTCCTTCTAAATTTATCTGACCCTTGTAATTATGGCCAAACTTTAAAGAAGAAATCCTTTCATTGTAAAACTGAACCTCATTGGGAAATGGAAAGTAAATTCTTGAACCCTATAAAAATTTACATGGACCGCAACATTATGGGTTGCAGTCTTTCAGTTGATCGTGAGCATTAAATTTACAAATTGCGGTTGAACTAGCCGAGATGTGGTCCTTGTGAATGTGATTACAGCCTGAATTGAACGAAAAGAAGTCCTGTTACCAGTTAATCATAACTATTTCAATTTCCGAAAAATCAAATACACCTACAAATACACAGCCAATTGTCCGATTACACTGTCCGATAACAACTGTACAGAACGATTTGTGAAAAATAAAGCTGCGAGTGCACCAATAATATTTGAGGAATTTGTAATGGTTATGATTAGATAGGAAATCACTCATAATATAGTATGTAGACCAGAAGGTTGACAACGATAACAAGGAAGGTCATCTGTAAATCAATAGCTTTTATTGATATTTTCTCCATATCATGATATCCTCTGTATCTGAAAAAAATAATGGAGAGGTTAACATATTTGTTTGTTTGATGGTTTTTCTTCGCTTGTATACAGGAGACAACAAAGTGGATGGGTGTGGTGTGTGAGTGTGGGTGGAAGGGGGGGGAGAAGGTGGGGAAATCACAAATTTTTCTCTTAGCGTGTCATAGTTGAAAGTTGTTCCAGATTTGTCCCAGATTTGTATCGACCCTTATCAAAATCATTTTTTTCAGAAGGGTCTGCTTTAATGCAATGGTCAGATTGGAGTCCCTGCTTTGGTCGGTGCAGTGTTAAATTTCAGGCAAGGAGTTGTTCGAAGGGTTGCGTTGGTGACCAAAATATAGAGATTAGGGAGTGTTCAACACATGAAAACTGTTCAGGTATAATGTACAGCTGCTCTATTGATGACTTTATATATATATTGTACCTGTATATTGTGTACACGTTCAGGTTAACATTTCAGACAAAAAAAACTTCACAAGAAAAGGAAGAAGTAGAAAAAGAGTAACAACAACAACAAAAATAAAGCCAGTCGAAAACTAAAACAAACAAACAAAAATAACCCGTAGCCACAAGCGACGGTTATAAGTTCGTTTTTGTTCCACTTTGTAAGTGTGAATATTTTTTTTCGGGTTTGTTTTCTCGAATAAGTTTTCTCTTGCTTTATGCATGTTTAGCGTCCGATTCGTTTCACATCTTTGTGCTAGTTGCGTAATCATGCATTGCCTATTTCGTTTTTTTTTCATTGGCTTATTCTATTCCGTGTAAAGCGTGACTGTATAAAATCAATGTGTTTCGTTTCGTTAATCAGTTCTTGTTTGTATGCAGAGTGCCGTACAGTTCTTGTAAGAGGTTAATTTTCATTGTGTATATTGTCCATCGCTGTTATTGACATTGACTTCGAAGTGACGGTTGTAAATTGACGATGTTTCCTTTTAATTTTTGCCGTCTTATCGTAGCTTATAGAGTGCGGCTTTCCCATAATCTTTCTTTTGCCGCTAAACTGAAGCTTGATGGGTATGTGAACAACACTTGGACGCCCGTTTGCCATCCAGTAGGCATTGTTGATAGACTTTGCCAGATCCAAGGCTTTGAGTCAGCTGAGAATAACGCAAACTGCGATATGATCCAGACTCACCGATATGGCAACACAACTTGTGGCACTCTTCAAAGAATGATTTCTAATTGTAGCGAACCTCACAGAGTTGCCGCTGTATGTAAAGGTACAACAAGTAAATAGACTCCGGCAAATTTTTGATAAAAGCAGAAAGGTTATGTACTTCCAACTTTTTTAACGTAGTAATCGCCCTTTTGCTGATAGGTGTAGAGAGCTTTCTTGCCATTCCAGCCTACAGTGTATACCCATCGTTTCATACTATATCAACGTTAGATACGAACTCCGGTGGTAGGGAAAGTCTTCTTGTACGGAGAAAAACTCTATACTTTTTTTACTGTAATAGGATAATTCCATTCTCCATTGTATGACAAAAACACAACTCACAATTTCCCAATTTGCTCTTACGAGGGACTAACGCCCAAAACATCAACTCTTGTGATTTATCTTTATCAGCTACATAATAGTTGAAAACTAAGATGTTGTTTTAAATGTCTGCCGACGTAGTTCAACAGTTTCTTTAAAAACTAATGTTATCACTTCATTGCAATCGCTGCGATCCATCCAGTTGTTCACACAGGTCCTCTGGAGACTACAAAGGAGAGTTCTACAAATGA